TATAAATATATATACTTCTATATATACTCTTACTCTATACATAGAGCATCTATGCAGGCCTGGTAGTGGTCAAAAACAAATGGATTATAAGGCCCAAGCGGCTGCCGTGCAAGAGAAACTGGCTTGCCTCCCAGCATCTATCAGCAACCCCAGCTCCTCAGCGGCTTGCTCTGAAGTACTGCTATATTGAGGAGATGCTTAGCACAGCTGGTGTTTAGATAGGGATTATATGGTGTATCTTGGAGTAATCGCTACTACCCTCTGCCGGAGCGTCTCATCAATGGAATACCCATCTGCGGCATGTGTAAAGAAGCGTAGAGCTCAATGGTCGGCGTGGCTATGTGTAAAGGCGATGTGGAGGAAGTCCTCGAAAGTTCGAGGTTGGTGACGAGCACAGTTGCGTATATCGTACAATATGGCTGAATCTGTTGATTCGTATGAAGCGCGAGACTATCCATAATGATTGTCCTCGCACGCCCGGGGTTTTACCTCAAGGGCAGGCAGTAGGTATGGTCGGAGTCTGTCCTTTCGGTGCTCTTGCTCGACGCCTCCATCCATCATCCAAGAACACGTAAGAGTCTGCTGGTATGGAGTGGGTGCTGTCTCTGAGCGCGCACTACTAATACGTTTCAATAGCTTACGATCCCAGCCTCGCTCAGACAACTCTTTAGATAGAAGCTGTTGAGATACAGTGAGGTTAGACTCTTCGTATACCCATCTAGCCATCTCATCAAGTTATAGCCAGCCTTCGCGAAGTAGTCTCTCAAGCAGTTGTTGGATCATACAATCGCTCAGTCGACGAGGTGACCATCCGTCAGGAGCATCGAAACCAGCTGTTAAAATTGGCCGTAGGTTGCCAGCATTACTAGGTAGAGTTATTTTTTACTCTACAGGCTGTGCCTCCTCTAGTCTAAGCTGTTGTATTCTTCGCCTAATATTTTTCGTGGATGCGAGAACGATGGCTACCTGGCGCGCGAGTGGACATAGCCAAAACCTGTACAACGTATCGGATCTGTCTTTTTCAAGCTTTAGAAGTGGCAGCAGCGCGGACGACGCGCGCTTCGAAGCCAGGCAGAACAGATACTTGTTTCTGGACTATGCCGCGAAACACTGTGGGAGCCATGTTGCGGAAGTTGAAGAAAAGATTACGGACAAAGTATGTGATTTCCTGCAGAGCTCAGCCGCTGTACGGTCTGCTGCTCAAGTTCTATGGATCCCAAGCTTTCGCATTCGTGGCTACAGCTAGGAATACCCACGAGAAACCTCTGCATTGCATCTGATAGCACAGTTCGGACTACTCACCATAGCCACAAGACTATATCAGAATGTCATTGCTAATCGCAGCATCGCACGGCCAGTTTGAAGTCGTTCAATGGCTCCTAGACAAGGGCTCCTGCGATACTGATAGCGAGCGTAGGCTCTATAGGCTAGGCCTCTTCTAGTCTAAGCTGAAACATACGTAGAGACTCGATGAGTAGGTTTATGTAGGCGTTAGGGAGTTATAATACACGGTCTTTGAATAGATCCATTCTCTTACTCGTAATTCCTATAGATAGACTGGAGAAAAAAAAACTTCTCACACCCCAACGGACCAAACTGGTCAATTCGGGGCAAAACAGCGATTTACATACATCAAACGATAGAGCACACCGAGTACAACAACCTCCGACACACGTGCGTACGTGCAGCGTACAATACGCGACGATACCGACGTGTAGAGACACTACATACATACGCTCGAAGACTCTTCGACAACACGAGCACAGACCACATCCAACAAACGCCGACACGCCGACCCCCTTTTATTAGTCAAGGGCTGCCCTTGACTAATAACCATGGCGGCCTCAGGCATCGCAATACCCCGGCATACGCCGGATATGCCCCCACCAGTACGGCAGAAACGGCCATATAGCGACATCAATGTGGACAGCCAGACACCTGTCCAAAATACAGGAACTAACCAAGGGTGCGAAGCGCCACAGACAACCCAGACCGAGGGGACCCCGAGAGGGGAGACCCTCCTAGACAAAATCGAATACCAGGCAACACGTGCAGAGAGGGACGCCGAGGAGGGAAAGAAGACCCTCCTTCATGTATTCCGGGACCTTATCCGGAACCTAAGAGGAATCACGGAGGAAGAAAGGAAGTCGCCACGAGAGGAACCCAGTGGTAGGCTCGACCGAATGGAAGCCAGCCTGCGGAGAATCCAGGAAGAGCTATCCCAAGGTAAGCGCCCTAACACGTGGGCTCAGATTGCAGCAACACCCGGAGCCACCGCACCAAGGACCACCAGGACCATGGATGGAGCATGTAGTATACGTGTCGCAATCCAGGACAAGGACACGCTGGCGCAGGTCCAACAGGCATCCCCAAAGGAAATTGTAAACAAGATTAACGAACAGAAAGGAATGTGGTCGAGCGTCGTGGCTGCTAAAGTTACGCCAGGTGGGGTAGTACTCACTACCACAACGAATACTGCGCAGCAAAACATCTCGCGAGATCCGAACGCGATAGGCAGCATCTTCCCCGGCGCGTCCATTAGGGCAGCCACATACCCGATTATGGTACACGCAGTACCCGTGCGGGGACAGGCTATCGGAGCGGAGGATATTACGCGCATGGAACAATCCAACGCGCGAAAATACCCAGGGATTAAGATCGTGAAAGCGTGGTGGAAGAACCCACAGGCGATTAAGACGACGGCGAAAAAACACTCCACTATAATTGTGGAGCTCCGAGACCCCGCCCTCGCACAACGCATTACACAGGAGGGATTCCTAGCAGAAGGAGAGCTCCTCATGGCCGAGCCATGGGATAGGGCATGGGCAATGACACAGTGCTTCAACTGTCAAGGGTATGGACACACTGCACAAAGGTGCTCACAGAAGACCAAGTGCGGATGGTGCCGTGGGGACCACGCCACCCAGGAGTGCCCTCATGAACCGCGAGGAGACGGACCAAGAAACAGGGACACAGCACAGTGTTCAAACTGCGACGGGAAACACCCGTCGTGGTCGTCAACGTGCACAAAACGCAAACAGGTCACAGAATACATTCGCACGATAAAAGCGAGAGGCGCGAGATGGTTACAGAACATGACACCCACCACGGGCCCTTCCTTTGCAACACCCCCAACCTCCCCTCCGGAAGGTAGTCAGGCGGGATGGCAGACTGTCCCGAAGACGATGGGACGACCAAAAGGCATAGTTAAAGCCGCTGCCGCGCGAGGACAGTCGCGCCTCCGAGGAATAAGCATGCAGGCATATACACTCCCTAGTACCCAATGAGGGACCAGAATATACTCCGAATTATACAGGCAAACGTACAACATAAAAGAGAGAACCAGGCGACGCTCCTCGAAGAGACCGGGGCCACAATACTCGCCATCCAGGAACCCTACAAACACTACCAGACGAGCAAACCAACCACACACCCCGGATACCACACTATACACCCTCCAGGACCAGAAAGACGAGTCCTCTTCCACATTCATAGGTCAATACCACTCTCATCATGGTCGTACACCGAGCGCGATAACCTCAGGATAACACTACACCTACAAACAGATATAGGCCCCCTACATATACATAACACATACAACCAACAACGTGTACTCACACCAGACGAGATGCTCGAGGGTACCACGGAACCAGGGCAACACATCCTCCTAGGAGACTTCAACCTCCACCACCGATGGTGGGGAGGCCCAGCCGTGGTCAGGGAAGAACTCAGAGCAAGGGAACTACGCACCCGCTGCCACGACTTCCTATACCTACTCACACCTGTGGGACAAGTCACATGGAAAAAACATAAACAGGACGAAGACGGGTCCACGCTTGACCTCACCTTCGCCACGGAGCACATCAGTCACCGGATCCAATACTGCCGCCCAGGCCAGGTACAGACGGATTCCGACCACGAATGCATGGAAACCGCAATAAACGTGCATACCCCGAATGAACAACGGGGACGATGGATATGGAAGGACACCGACTGGGAAAAGTACCTGAAGGACCTGGAATCGGCGATCCCAGATCCCTCTACAGTCGATGTATCCAACGACCTAGCCATAGACCAGGCCGTACAGACACTCCTACAAACATACCAGAATGCGAGAAATAAACACGTACCATACCGAATATACCGGCCCCCGGAAGCAAAGGGGATTCCTCGAGTACGGGAAAGTAGACAAGACGCCCGAAGGCTATACACACGCGCACACCGTACGAGAACACCCGAGTCGTGGGAAGAATGGAAGGAAGCGATACGACAACGCGACAAAGTCCTCCGTAACGAAAGGCGTAAACAGTGGCGTATAATTACCAGTCAACAGACACGACACGCAACAGGGCTATGGCGCATGGCGAAATGGGCCAAGGGCGCAGACACTCCGACACCCCCGCCACTCATGCCTCCCCTAATACATCAGGGGAGAACATACTCCACGAGCCTTGAGAAAACTGAGGCCCTACGGGAGGCCCTACGGGAGGCCATGTTCCCTCTCCCGGAACCAGCAGACCTATCAGACGTTCACGGCGCCGAATACCCACACGCGGTAGACATCCCCGAAGAAGTTACGGAGGAGGACATACTTAACATTATTAAGACACTCCCAAATGATAAAGCACCCGGACCAGATGGAATTCCAAATCGATGCCTAAAAAGCACTATAAAAGCGACCCTACCGCTTATCACTCGTATATTCCAAGCATGCGTCACGCAGGGGTACCACCCCCAGTGCTTCCGAGTCGCCCATACCATCATGCTCCCGAAACCAGGAAAGAGCCCTAACTCCCTAAAGGGATGGAGACCAATCGCCCTTCTCTCCTGCCTAGGCAAGATACTAGAGGCCACGATAGCGAAGAAGATGAGCACCGCGGCACAGGAACACAATCTCCTCCCTCCGAACCAGAAGGCAAAGGTAGGTAGCTCCCCAATAACAGCTATCCAACACATTATCGAAGTCGTCCAGGCCGCATGGAAACAGGGACGGGTAGTATCGCTCCTCTCCCTCGATATGGCCGGAGCGTTTGACAAGGTAAACCACACAAGACTTATTCATAACCTCCGGATGAGACGAATACCAGAATGGATTACACGCTTCATACAGTCATTCCTCACAGGAAGAACAACTCAGATACATATCCCTGGGTACCAGAGCGAATACAAAGAGACGGCATGCGGCATCCCACAAGGGAGCACCATCTCTCCGATCCTATTCCTCTTCTTTACGGCAGACCTTCTTCAAGGAATGAAGCACACAGAGGCAGTCGGATACGCCGATGACACATACCTCCTAGCCATCGATAATAATACCAACCGAACGTGTAGACGACTAGAACAGGACCACGAGAGGTGCCTCCAGTGGGCAAAACGCCACGGAGCAAAGTTCGCCCCGGAGAAATACCAGCTCATGCACTTCATCAATCGTCAAGGGAAATGGGCAACTAGGGAAGGCGAACGACGCCCCCGAATCGACGCATTCAACGAACCACCAGCACAAAGCATGCGCGCGCTCGGAGTCATACTAGATAGCAAGCTTAAATGGGGACCACAAGTGGCATACGCCGTCTCCAGGGCCCTCCGGGCAGAAGCCGCCATACGACGGATTACAGCCTCCACGTGGGGAACCGCCCGGGATAAGGCACGCCAGCTATATATATCTATGGCACGACCCGCCTTCACGTACGGACACGAGTGCTGGTACACGGCCCTTACACAGACCAGGCGAATGAAGCTCGAATCCATACAGAACCGCATACTCCGTCTCATATCAGGCGCATACAAAGCTACCAACACGGTGCTGCTGCGACGCGAGACAGACGTCACAAGCATACATGACTTCTGCCAGACACAGAGGGTGGCATACTTCACCAAACAACAAGCACAGGAACGCATAGGAAACGCAGAACACACTTTCGCCGCGCGACGCGCACGAATCAGCACACATTGCCGCGCACTCCTACACACAGGCCGGAATCGAATACGGTACAGGTGCTCAATAGAAGCCGACTCCAGCCAAGTAGCACAAGAAGTCCGAGACAACCCGGTGTGAGGCGTGCGGCCGGAGAGGTACAATACGCCACTATCTAGCTATATGCCCCAACCTCCATACACAACGGCAATGGCTCATCCACGTCACGAAGACTTCAGATATCGCACGATGGCTTAATGAGTACCCCAAGGACGTCTCCCGATGGATGCTTACACATCTACCACTCCTCCAGTACCAGTGGACCCGGAAATATATGCCGGAAGAGACCCGGCATACGCCGGCAGCAACCCGACATATACCGGAAGAACCCCGGGAGAACCCCGATTATTAGTCGAGGGCAGCCCTTGACTAATAACCTCCGCACCTGCACGTGCTGCCTGAGGGCAAAACAACGGTAACACAGGCTGTAGGCTAATAGGCGTACCCTATGGCTGTATACTCAAGACGAAACAGAGGTTCAACGAGATGTAGTTATAGAC